GTGAAAGTACAGATACTGCTGGTCAAATATTACTCCATTACAAGTAAAAGTTGTAAAGACAGATTTTTACTTAAGTAAAAGTACAGAAGTACTTGCTTTTAAAAGTACTTAAGTACCAAAAGTAAATTTCATTTTATTATGTCAATGCAATGTTTTATTATTGTTGTGTGTAATACTTGCAATACCTTATGCCTGAAGCAACTTACAATATATTACACCTACTGAATACACTGACTATCTTGTAGTATATATTTGGAATAAAGAGCTTTCTATGGAAGCCCGTTTCCGCCACTGAATAAAAAAAAATAAAAAAAAGGTAATTGCGACTTTTTATCTCACAATTCTGACTTTTTTTTCACAGAATTGTGAGATATAAACTCGCAATTGCGAGTTATAAAGTCAGAATTGCGTGATAAACTCGCAATTGCGAGTTATAGTCAGAATTGCGTGATATAAACTCGCAATTGCGAGTTAAAGTCCAATTTTGAGGGGGAAAAAGACTGATATGTTCTCAGAATTGCGACTTTATGTCTCGCAATTGCGAGTTTATATCACTACTGATAGGCTGACTACAAAATTTTTAAATAAATAAAGTCATGTTTTAGAGAAGAAGAAAAAAATCACCCACTGACTTTCAAAGCTGCTACATAGTAATGAATTTCTACTTCGAGGACCCTGATAGAAATGTAGTGGAGTGAAAAGTGCGATATTTGTCTTTCAAATGTAGTGAAGTTAAAGTCATAAGTTTCCAGAAAAAAATTATTTCACAAATAATTTTTTCACAAATGATCACACATTGTGTGATCACTGGGTCTTCAGTCTCTGTAGCGGCTCCTTATTCACCATCAGCTGATCCTGAGGAAACTGGACTGACGTCTAAATACTGAGAGTCCTACAATAAAACACACAGACAGTCACATATGAGTATGAGACATTACTGCCGTCACATCACATCAGCAGATTCATTTCAGAAAAAAACACAATTACTATTCATATTACAGCCAGAGATATGAATGAAAACACATCACAGAATTAAATTCTTATTTAAGTTTAAAGTACAGAGACTAAAGTGGAGCTGAATTATTATCTTATATTTTACAATTATACTGTATATGAAGCCTGTTAGTCTATTTAAAAGCTTTAATTAAAGATATACTCACAATAGAATAGTTCCGCCAGTTTATAATGTGGATCATCTTTTAGGTCAGAAAGTAACTGCACTTCAGAACATCCTAGGTTATTCTGAGACAGATCCAGATCTCTCATGTGTTCAGGGTTTGATCTCAGAGCTGAAGCCAGAGCAGCACAACCTTCACCTGTGATGCCACAATCCCTCAATCTGCAATGAACAAACACTGTTTAGCAATAGCTTCATTACATAGAAAACACCAGTGTGCCGTGTCGTTCAGATCATTATACCCCAGTTTCTCTAATTTGCAGTGAGGATTCTCCAGTCCAGCAGAGAAAGCAGTCACTCCAGAGTCTCCTATTTTATTCTGAGACAGATCCAGTTCTCTCAGGTGCGAGGGGTTTGATCTCAGAGCTGAAGCCAAAGCAGTACAACTTTTGTCTGTGATATTGCAGTCTTCTAAACTGTAGAGAGATTTAAACTTTTTAAGTACAATAAATTTAACACGGTAACAGTAAAAAAGAACTTGAAATTGCCTCTTGCTGTGATGCAACACACATCCAATTGACGGACATCCCATAATATTGCGCAGCGGTTCCAGGGACTTAATTTTCCTCATCTGTGTAAAATCGAATTATTTTATTCATAAATATCCTATGTGTGAACTGAGTATTTTGATAGTTATATATCTAAATTACTTCTACAGGGAGGCAAACTCATCAGGGGTGAAAAAATTGTGTAATGATAATAATCGTATTCACTAATAATTAATAATATTCATGGCCGTCTTAAACTCTTTGCTTTTAAATGTTAAGCCACAGAACTTTATGGTATGAAATATCAAAATATACTATCAAATCTAGAAGAAAGACTACTACCACTAAGTCATTGGAAACGTGGGTCAGCACTGTGCTTAATGGAAAATGTCTAGACAGTGTAGCAATCATCTGTGTTACTTACTGTGCTGATGTGGATTCTTTAATCACAGGAAGTAGCTTCCGAATAACTTTATTTGGAGTATTTTCTCTTCTAACAAATTTATTCAGCTCAAAAACATGCATCATTTGCTCTGATGTCAACAAGACAAACAGTAAAGCTGACCACTGCAAACAGGAGAGATTGGCTTCTGCTATTCTTCCAGATCTCAGATATTGTTGTATTTCCTCCACTAGTGAATGATCACCCAGTTCATTCAGACAGTGGAACAGATTGATGATTTTTTTTGGAGAGCACATGGTCCTGATCTTCTTCTTGATGTACTCAACTGTTTCCTCACTGCTGTTAGAGCTGCTTTTTGTCAGTGTCATTAGTCCTTGTAGAAGACTCTGATTAGTCTTCACTGACAGACCCAGAAGAAACCGCAGGAAAAGGTCCAGATGGCCAGTTTTACTCTGTAGAGCCTCATCCACAGCTCTCTGGTGCAGAGCAGATAATGAAACATGTTCTGAATTGAGTTGAAACAAGTTTTTAGACCGCAAACTCTGTTTGGTGATTTGGTCAAACACATTTCTGTTGTGGTTTGTACAGGAGAGGTGCACATATAGAGCTGCTACATGCTCCTGAATGCTCAGATGAACAAAGCAGAAGACTTTCCCCTGATACAAGCCAAACTCCTCTCTGAAGATCTGAGTGCACAATCCTGAGTACACTGATGCTTCTGTCACATCAATGCCACACTCTCTCAGGTCTTCCTCATAGAAGATCACATTGCCTTTTTCCAATTGCTCATATGCCAGTTTCCCTAATTTGAAAATCATCTCTTTGTCTGTGTCCTCCTCCTTAGTGTACTTCATGTTTTTAATGTTAATCTGTGCCATCAGGAAGTGTGTGTACATTTGAGTGAGAGTCTTGGGAATCTCTCCACTCTCTGCTCGACTCAACATCTTCTCTAGAACAGCGGCTGAGATCCAGCAGAACACTGGGATGTGGCACATGATGAAGAGGCTCCTTGATGACTTCAGGTGTGAGATGATTGTATTGGCCAGACTCTGATCACTGATTCTCTTCCTGAAGTATTCCTCCTTCTGTGGATCATTGAAGCCTCGTACCTCTGTCACTCGATGGACACACTCAGAGGGGACGAGATCAGCTGCTGCTGGTCTGGAGGTGATCCAGATGAGAGCAGACGGAAGCAGATTCCCCACAATGAGGTTCGTCAGCAGCACGTCCACTGAGGCTGATTCACTTACATCACACAACCTCACATCGCTCTGAAAATCCAGAGACAGACGACACTCGTCCAGACCATCAAAGATGAACAACACTTTATATTCATCACTGGATATCTCCATTTCTTTAGTTTCAGGGAAAAAGACATGAAGAAGATCTGAAAGACTGAGTGTTTTGTCCTTCATCAAGTTGAGCTCTCTGAAAGGCAGTGGAAATATGAGCTGGACGTCCTGATTCTCTTTTCCTTCAGCCCAGTCCAGGATGAACTTCTGCACAGAGACTGTTTTTCCAATGCCAGCGACTCCCTTTGTCAGCACAGTTCTGATGGCTTTGTCTTGTCCAGGTAAAGGTCTAAAGATGTCACTGCATTTGATGGCTGTGTCCTCTGTTGCTGCTCTCCTGGATTGTGTCTCAATCTGTCTCACCTCATGCTCATTACTGATCTCTCCACTCTCACTCTCTGTGATGTAGAGCTCTGTGTAGATCTCATTCAGGAGTGTTGGGTTTCCCTGCGTCGCTGTTCCCTCATACAGACACTCAAACTTCTTCTTCAGAAGCGTTTTGAGGACTTCAGTATGTTTAGAGTCACGGCTGTAAGATTAAAATCAAACACATTTCTGTTGTGGTTTGTCCAGGAGAGGTGCACATATAGAGCTGCTAGATGTTCCTGAATGCTCAGATGAACAAAGCAGAAGACTTTCCCCTGATACAAGCCAAACTCCTCTCTGAAGATCTGAGTGCACAATCCTGAGTACACTGATGCTTCTGTCACATCAATGCCACACTCTCTCAGGTCTTCCTCATAGAAGATCACGTTGCCTTTTTCCAATTGCTCATATGCCAGTTTCCCTAATTTGAAAATCATCTCTTTGTCTGTGTCCTCCTCCTTAGTGTACTTCATGTTTTTAATGTTAATCTGTGCCATCAGGAAGTGTGTGTACATTTGAGTGAGAGTCTTGGGAATCTCTCCACTCTCTGCTCGACTCAACATCTTCTCTAGAACAGCGGCTGAGATCCAGCAGAACACTGGGATGTGGCACATGATGTAGAGGCTCCTTGATGACTTCAGGTGTGAGATGATTCTGTTGGCCAGACTCTGATCACTGATTCTCTTTCTGAAGTATTCCTCCTTCTTTGGGTCATTAAAGCCTCGTACCTCTGTCACTCGATGGACACACTCAGAGGGGATGAGATCAGCTGCTGCTGGTCTGGAGGTGATCCAGATGAGAGCAGAGGGAAGCAGATTCCCAACAATGAGGTTCGTCAGCAGCACGGAAGTGTGTGTACATTTGAGTGAGAGTCTTGGGAATCTCTCCACTCTCTGCTGGACTCAACATCTTCTCTAGAACAGCGGCTGAGATCCAGCAGAACACTGGGATGTGGCACATTATGAAGAGGCTCCTGTTTGACTTCAGGTGTGAGATGATCCTATTGGCCAGACTCTGATCACTGATTCTCTTCCTGAAGTATTCCTCCTTCTGTGGCTCATTGAAGCCTCGTACCTCTGTCACTCGATGGACACACTCAGAGGGGACGAGATCAGCTGCTGCTGGTCTGGAGGTGATCCAGATGAGAGCAGAGGGAAGCAGATTCCCCACAATGAGGTTCATCAGCAGCACGTCCACTGAGGCTGATTCACTTACATCACACAACCTCACATCGCTCTGAAAATCCAGAGACAGACGACACTCGTCCAGACCATCAAAGATGAACAACACTTCATATTCATCACTAAAAATGTCTATTTCTTTTGTTTCAGGGAAAAAGTAATGAAGAAGATCTGAAAGACTGAGTGTTTTGTCCTTCATCAGATTGATTTCTCTGAAAGGAAGAGGAAATATGAGCCTCCACTCTCACTCTCTGTGATGTAGAGCTCTGTGTAGATCTCATTCAGGAGTGTTGGGTTTCCCTGCTTTGCTATTCCTTCATAAAGACACTGAAACTTATTCTTCAGATTTGATTTAAACGTGTTGAGGATTTCAGAATTGGAGTCATGGCTGTAAAACCAACACAACAGAATATCACACAATCACAAGTTAAAGAGGTACATGTATAGTGCCTTAAAGAGAGAATGATATTTTGTTCTCTATATAATAATATTATTTTCTATATTTTAGAACAACTGATTTTGCCCATACCGATTTTTGTTATTTGTCAAAATATTTTACCTGACACCAGGATACATGCTTTCATCAAAGTCCTGTGGTTGATTCACAGACTCGTCATGTTTTATTTTCTTACAGACGGGTTCTGTTACAGCTGGTCTGGGTCGCAGGATTCGCCGTAAACGGCATAAAATAAAAAAATAAACAATTAAATACTTTGATATTTAAGATTGATACTAACTGAATAATTCTGTAAACAATTTCCCAATTGCTACATACTTTATAGCAGCCATAAACCGCTTGTACAGTGAGGCTAATGAATTGACTACTTGGTGGAATTTTCTTATTTTTCGTTGTTCATTTGACAATGACAATAAAGATCTATTCTATTCTGTATCTATACTATTCTATTCTATTCTGTATCTATACTGTATTATGTGAACCCATGAGCAGGCCCATAATATTTATACACTGCCATTGAACACTCCAATCAAAGACCAATTTAATGTGAGAACATACCCACTATACAAATTCCCTGTGAAAATCTAATCATAATGTACACATGAAATGCTATTAGTATATACTGAAATTTAAAGTAACACCTAAGATTGTGTACCATTAAGCCATGAGAGGCTATGCATTACAGTGAATTTTATCATAAGCAATTGTGTACCTGTGACTCTGGCTTCTGTCTCCACTCTTCATTTGTAGTGGAGGATCCATAGACCAGTCACTCTTCATGGACACACAGCTGGGCTCTGGTGAATCTGAGCTCTTCTGCTGAGCCAAACTGAAACAGAACAGAGGTCACATTAAATTCTTTAAGTTACCATATTCATGCTTTATGATGATAACCCATGAGCAGGCCCATAATATTTATACACTGCTATTGAACACTCCAATCAAAGACCAATTTAATGTGAGAACATACCCACTATACAAATTCCCTGTGAAATTCAAATCATGATGTACACATGAAATGCTATTAGTATATACTGAAATTTAAAGTAACACCTAAGATTGTGTACCATTAAGCCACGAGAGGGTATGCATTACAGTGAATTTTATCATAAGCAATTGTGTACCTGTGACTCTGGCTTCTGTCTCCACACTTCATTTGTAGTGGAGGATCCATAGACCAGTCACTCTTCATGGACACACAGCTGGGCTCTGGTGAATCTGAGCTCTTCTGATGGACTGAACTGTAATACAGCAAACAAGAGGGTTTGGTGACATCAACTGAAAAGTGAAGCTGTTTCAGATGTAAAGTAACTTGTTATATTTTGATAATGTGTCTTTTTAATAATAAAGCCAGGAAAAGTGTATTAGCGAAAAATATTAAGTTAGATTTCATGTTGTCTTTAATGAGAGTACCTGCATCCCGGAGAAAAATCTCCATCTTTGGTTTTTTGTACTTGACTCATTCTGTGCTCACGGAGCTGCACTGGCGCGTCTGATCTCCTCTTACTGGCTCTGACTGGAAATAACAGAAACACTGATTCAGACACATTAAACACTATCACAGTAATTAAACTAGAAATTTAGCTTCATGTAATGTTGAACCTGAATGTATTTATAAATGTTGCTATTGAGTAAACTGAATTTAGTCAGAACACACCACATTATGTTGTTTGTGTAAACACCAAAGACAGAAGGCATGGGCTAAGGCTATTAAAATATGTTCTTGAACAAGTCAAGTTCACTTATGATTGTAACTGGTCTGAGCAAAGATGCTCACAAGTAGTTTCTACCATTTCCTGGTTTTGACTCGTATACAGTGTTGCCAACTAATTTTCAGGGGAAGTTGCTAAAGGAAGGTTGATTTGTTGCTAGAAGCTGCTAAATTACATTGTGATGTCATTGCACGATGACATCATTGCGTAATTATGATGCAAAATTGTGTCACTACATCAAGTCTCAGCAAAAAAATATCTTATATATGTTAATTTAGATTTGTTCGTAAAATAAGGTAATATACTATTAAAATATAACTATTTTTAAATACAACATTGAATTATTGAACACTTACACATTTTTGAACAATTACAATTTAAGTTTTTTTTATTAGCTAGTAAACTAGTAAAACTACAAATTCTGAACAATTATAGTTTTAAGCAGTGTATTAGTAGTTAGTGTGCTACACTTTAAGAAAAGTCTGTAAAAATAGGGCACAATCTACTATATTAATGTGAACGAATTTTCCGTATTGATTTTTCACAGGTTGTTTACCTGCATTTTAAATTACACATTGTATTTTGTGTTTTCGGGTTACAACGGATAATGGATAATGTCCTGGAAAATTACCTTTTACATTTTTCTAGATATTTTTCTTACAGTGTACTAACTTATCAACAGTCGCAGGTACAAGCTATTACTAACAATGTGTATCATAAAAGAACAATTATTAAATTATTAAATTATTATTATTATTAAATTGAACAATTGCAAATAGCAGCTAACTTAATCCATGTGATGTGTGTACTACTAGACATCTTTAGGTTTCCTCTTGTGTAATTTAGATTCTAGATTTAATTTAGCCTTTTGTCGTTTAAATCACCTATCAAAAGTTGCTAAAAGTTGCCAAATAAATGGTAAAAATAGCTACATTTGTTGCTAGGTGCTTTTGGAAGAAAAAGTTGCTAGGCTAGTGTGAAAAGTTGCTAAATTTAGCAACAAAATTGCTAAATTGGCAACACTGCTAGTATATTCTTGCTCCCCTACCAGTAGGGTTTACTTGGTATGATCCAAATGTAATGTGAGGAAGTCACACCCACGGTTTTTTTTTTATTTTTATATATATATATATATAAATGTTAAACAAAGGAAACTGGTGTTCTCGCTTATTGTTTCTAAATATGACTGCTGTGTGGTGTAGGCCTATTCTTCGGTTTTGTTACAGTGGAGTTGTATTGTTTTAGTAATACATATTGTTTTATTTTTTTATTATTATTATTATTACTTTAAAGGATTCTTGTTTTTCGGGTTTTTTTCCACGATGATTATTTCATTAGCAGTGGATGAGGTTATACTGCAGGACAGATGGCGTCAGCAACATACGATCGAAAAACAACAAAAACAAAGCATAAAAGGTGATTGAGCGATAATAATAGTTTAAACGATGCAGTACAACAATAAGCGAAAATCGTAGCTCGTATATTTTAGTGATAATATTAAGGCGCGTTAGCGTCAAACCTCGCGACGTCGTAACGCAACGCACTCGACCTACAGTAACGCACAGCTGATCGCGTCGACTTTATCTGACACAGGCTTACAACGTTTTACAAAAGGTGTTTATCTACCAAATATAATCATCACGCGAGCTTTTGTGTATCAAAAATTACCTTTTTATACTCACTTTTTGTGCTAGGATAACGTGACGCAGTTATTTTGAGGATAAATGTCTCCTGTAACTTACTTTCACTTTTGTCTCCGATATCAACATGGAAAAAACCATTTTAGCGCCAGGTGGCTTTTTTCCATTTAACGTGTATAGGATGTTTTAGATGAGACTAAAGCGGTATTGACGCTTCTCATAAATACACACCGATGGCGATAACAATGTACGATATAATCTGGCAGCATTAATGGGTAAACAGCGAATATATACAAACGCTACATTGTAGCGGATACCTGGCTTATGAATATTAATTAGCTTACGCAACGTGCCTATAACACGTATCTGATTGGCTGTAAATCAGTGGGGTTTAGCAGTTATCCTATCAGATCTCTACTAAATTGTTGCGTTTTCTCATTTCCTCAATTTGGTATTTTTAAGATTATCTGGTAAAAAAAATCTGAAGAAAAGAGTCTCCGCAGTCGTAAGAATGTTTCTCAGCACATTAACACAAACTAGTGTTTATTTTACGCGAACGTTTAGCTGACCACCTGGTAATTAAAGTTAGACTTGAAAAAGACACTTCATCAAACAATGTTTCATCTATGTAAAAAAAAAAAAAAAATTATCACAAGAAATAAAGATTTGAGATAATTAATTCATAATGTCTGATGCTGTGCGTGTTAGAGACTGTGTGTGATGGTAATCTACCCAATATGTTATTGACTATAAAATACAAAATAATATAAAATAAAATGGAATAATGTTTCTGAACAAAAGACGTATTGGTTTTGTAAAGACAGTAGATCTCATGATTAATGACATTTCTGATCTGACTTCTGAACTATCACTGTTACTAGCTCTTCTATCTCTGAAACGATCAGTTTCCAGATTATAGTTTCCATTTTAACAAAACTGAGACCATTTTGGAAAGAAAAATACATATACGCATTACGACTAAACAAACTATGCATGAAATACATGTTTTTGCACATCACTAGACTGCAAGTTCTCATTATAACCAGCAGAGAGCGTTATTAACTTATCAAATAATTTAACAGGATTTTACAGAATGTGGTGGGAACTGAAAATATATTAATTATGATGTACCAGGATATTAATGAAATAAAAATGAACAATGTCTGTGCTGAATGATTACACATTAGTTTTACATGCTTTTTCAATTCCATTTCAATTAGAGCAACTTAAAGGAATACCCCGAAATGAAAATGACCAATTACTCACCCTCATGTCATGTGACATTTCTTTCTTCTGCAGAACACAAAATAAGATATTTTGAAGAACACTGCTTAAAGCACACTGGACCCCACTGACACTGTATGATGCATTTTTTCAAAATATTGTTTTCTGTGTCCAACATAAGAAAAAAATGCATATAGGTTTGAAACAGAAATTACATGTGCAACCATAGGCGGAGGGTGGACCAACTCCAGGGTAAGGCTAAAAGCAGCCAAATCTATTACATACAAACATCATAAACCTGTCTTTTTTAGGCAAGAACCAGACATGGGCGTCATGTAGGCTAATAAAACATGTTTAATGGGACTGAATTTGTATTTAATGTGATTACAGTTTAATTAAAACATTAGAAATTGATAATTATATAACGTTTCCTTCCCACGGTTATCCAAACGGCTAATAAATTATGTACATAAATGACATTATCACTAACTTTGATCTATCGCACTCTCAACAAAACAAAACTATAGTTATAATCACTGAAGCTGTCTACACTGCGAAATGAATCTCTTACTTACATTGTGCGTACATCTGCGCTTTGTTGTTTATGATGAGAGAATTCGCGGAATTCAGTCGTCGAACCTGCGCGCATTCAGCAAAGCTGATGAGTTTCAGTGTCTCATCTGAACGCCTCTGATTGGCCATTGCATTCATAAGCTCAACAGAATCGTGTGTGATTGGTTATAATGCACAACACTGTAAAAACGCCTAAAATGAAATACGGTGCAACATGAGCAAATCTTAACTTAATGCGCAGTCGACACTTTCTATTCATTTACACTTTGTCAGCAACAGGGCCTTACACACGCTCCGCCTATGTGTGCAACTGTATAAGTGACTGTACAGTAGCAACTGTGAAATGAAATACCATTTTCTTTATCTACTATATCTAAGTTGTATCATTTATACCAGTCTAGCTTTACGGCTATTAGCTACTTTTAGTAAAAGTTGTTCAGAATCCTTAACCAGAATTGAGAAAGCAGATATCAGAATTTATTTTTCATTTTCATTATTGAATATACAGTTAAGAAAATTATTATCTCTAATATCATAACATTCCATAATGTCACATTTCAGAGGGTTGTATGAGTGCTTGAGGATTAGATAGATAGACAGCCAGACAGATAGACAGACAGATGATAGATAGATAGATAGATAGATAGATAGAGAGAGAGAGAGAGAGAGAGATAGATACAGTAGATAGATAGATAGATAGATAGATAGATAGATAGATAGATGGATGGATGGGTAGATAGATGATAGATAGACGGATGGACGGATGGATGGGTGGGTAGATGGATGGATGGATGGATGGATGGGTAGATAGATGATAGACGGATGGATGGATGGATGGGTAGATAGATGATAGATGGATGGATGGGTAGATAGATGATAGATGAATGGATGGATGGGTAGATAGATGATAGATGGATGGATGGATAGATAGATAGATAGATGGATGGATTGATGGATGGATGGATGGGTGGGTGGATGGATGGATGGATAGATAGATTGTAAACTTTGCCAGTATACATGTCAGCTGGCTTCATTCTTTTCCTTCATGTCTGTCACCTTTTAGATGAAACGATGCGCGCTCTCGTGTTTAGTCGCTTGCGCGTTCGCGTATCACCCTCCCCACCCAGGACGCGCCAGGCTGCGTGGAGTGAGCGCTCGAGAGTATTTCCACTGCACGAGAGAGTGAAATACAACAGAGTCAAACCGCAGAGAGACAGACACATATCAGCTCAAGCGGAGCAGTTTTTCAATGAATGACCCAGCAGCAACATGTGCTTCACAGCCACGCCTGCCTTGAACAACACAGCAAACTAGGATATAAGGTACGACAACAAATCAAACGCGATTGAAACTTGTCCCGAACAAACTGTTTGATCGCGCAAAACGTGAAATGCGGCTTCATTTGAGATGCGTTTTCATGCTTCAGCTCTCAGTATGATGATGCTTGCTTCTGTTTGAGACTGAAAAGTAAACGAGCACGAGTCAAAGAGCAGGTGTAAACTGGAATAACACGAAGCCTTCAACTTATGTTGCCTTTAAATGTCAGAACATGTTCTTCAATTGTCCTTTTGATGCAGATGACATGCAAAAGGATTGTTATTATTTTTAGTTCTTGAAGTATTGTTATTGCATGTTTGTGTGCAGATTCTCATAGTTGCGTTTGGTCATGATGTAGGATGTACACTGCGTTTATACAGGATTTTAGGATATATATGTGCATGTATGTAACCATATGACTGCTGCTGAACTATTATAGTCATTTTTTTTTGTTGTGGCTTGCATATATATGCGCATGTTGGCTTCCCTTTGGTGTCTGTGGCCACTTGTTTGTGTCTTTATGTCAGTGTGATCGGTTTAAATGAAAGCAGTCCGCACAGGGGTCGATTGTCATCGTTTAGCTTCCGTGATGTGTCTTTAATCCATCACAAAGCCCGTTATTATAACGTATTTTGTTTGTTTGGTTACATAAACGGGACTCTTACTATGTGACCTTCATATCATAATTGTTTTATTTGTTGAATCTGATATTAATAAGGCAGTGCGGTGGATAGATGTTTAAACGGTCTAAGTGTTAGAGATGTGATAAAGGGCACTTTATTGCTCGGGACCTGACGGGGATGCACCATGCAGGCGGGGTTTCCTCGGTTTTTCTGCAGATGGAGGTTCCCTTCTCCTCCCCTCCCATTTAAAACGAGCATTCAGGGTTTGTTCAGTGTGAAATACTAGCCTACTGTATGCCTACTTTTTTTTTTAATACCATGCATGAAATGGCACCATTCCCTTATTCTGCATTATGAGAAATCACACCGGACTCTAAACAGCCGAGAGAGTCAGGGGAGCGGCCAGCCAATGAAAAAACGCTCTCTACCTGCTACTCATTTTGCGCTTTCGTTTTTGCTGACATCAGGTTGGCTGATGTGTCGAGACGGCGTGCAGCGAGGTCAGCGAAATTGCAGTGCCATTAAAAATGTGAAATAAAATTCAGTATGCAATGCAAAAAAGTTTGAAGCAGTGGAATGACACACTGTGTTGCTTTTTTGCGAGTGGCATTTATATATCATCTCGTAAATGATTTTTAAAACAATTTTGTGTACAATTGTTGGCAGTCTGAATTACGACCCTGATAGCACACGTACATCACATAGATGTCTATTTGACGTCTGCATTTACATCTGCAAGACGTGTTTGCTCATCTGCAATGCGTCTGTAGGAATTTTCCCATAAGATGTCAAATAGATGTTTAGAAAATGTATTTAAGATGTTTATGATTTAGAATGTATGTAAAACGGACATCTTAAAGACGTCTATCAGATGTTTGTACACAGCAGATGCTTTCCAGATGAAGCAATCTTTAACAGACATCTTGCAGACGTACGTGTGCTATCTGGGGACAGACAGACAGACGTCCAAAAGTCCTTTCCAAGAGTCCAAAAAGGGAAAAATCCAAGTTGATATTAGACCTAATTCTAGTTCATTAATCATATAATGGGACCAGGATAGTTGGAACATCCCAATTTACCTGAATTCACCCTAATGTTTGCCGATATTGCATATTGCAGAATTTAAGGCTTCCTAAAATCATGGCAAACTTGGAAACATCTGTGATTTTCAATCCTGGAAAGTTTAATGGGAACTTTTAATTATTAATGGCAATTTCTATAGCAAATATACATTTTTCTAGTTATTCTTAACTACATTAGGCCTATTTAATTTTCATCAGCTAGAAATTACCCTCAAGCCATGGAAAGCAATTAGTGAAAAGGGGTGAAACCATGATACTTTTATCATACCGCAGATCTGTATGGTATAATATTCCAAACATAGCCACCAATTCTTCTAATTAATCTACAGCTTGTCATGCATATGCGCCTGCTTGCCTCTTGATTTATAGATTAATATGACAGAGTCACGAGGCATGGAGGGAAATCTTGAGGCATCTCTAGAGTCATTATGCAATCACTACAATGCTTCAGAAAACATGCAAGCATGCAAAGACAGTATGTTAGGAGAAGGTAGAGGGCAAGCCAAGAGCTTCTCCTGTATGTCCCTCATGTACATCAGTGTGTGAATCCTCTGAAGATGTGATGCTCAGACATGGAGGCAGAGCATGTGTGTGCTTGAGCTGTTTGACATTTTTATCATATTCACTCATCAAGTCATCCTCATTTTGAGAATGGAGCAGCTTCTCCTCTCTTCTGATTTCTTCGTTCTCTTGTTTTCCTGCTTGACTGCACTATTGCAAATAAAATTGTCCCAGGACTGTGAGGCGGGATGCAGGACTGCAATGGCTGGCTGCTAGTTAATGCTCTGTGTGTGCGTTCAGCATTGAGACGTGAGTGAGAGTTTAAGTCAGTAACTGCTGCAGTGTTCACACAAACACACACACACACACACACACCGAGGACTTCCTCTTCTGCACGCTCTGAGTGTGTGTGTGTGTGTCGACAACATACCCTGCCCTGAAGCAATTCCTATTGAATGAAAGCAAAGCGAATGCTTTAGTGTAAAATTTCAAACTCCACTGCGCTGACGCTCCTCATATTTATTTCCCTAATGAACGTACAAATAATTGTTCTAATAATTTTAAGATCATAAGAAAGCATCTATCTATCTATCTATCTGTCTGTCTGTCTGTCTGTTTGTCATTCGAACGCTCCATCGTTCTATTTATCTGTTATTCTAACGTTCTATCATTCTATCTCTCATTCTATCATTCTATCTACAGCTCTATTGTTCTGACACTCTGTCTATCGTTCTATCATTGTAACTCTCGTTCTATTGTTCTGTCATTCTATATAATTAATTTATAATTTAGTTTTGTGTATTAATTGCATTAATGAATAGTACACGTAAAAATGGTGTACGACGTACTTTGAAACAATTTTCTCAAATTTTTGGCAAATTTAACAAATGATTAAATAGAAATGACAAGTAACATTGAATTACATGTGACATTTTTAAATAGAAAGACTGAAACTCCAATAATATTTGTTTTATTTACAACTTTGTACATTTTTTTACAGTCTAGGAAAGCTCTTGAATTTTGATCTATTTTTCAATCCTTCCACCATGTTTTCTCTGCCTGTTTTAAACTCTTTAGATATTTATGAACATTAAATTGTCAGATTACAGCTGCCTCAGAATATAGAATTATGTCGAGCTTGAAGGAAGCATAGAGACGCCTGTGAAATCTCTGCTCCTATACTGTACCACAATATCCCATCCCTTTACCTTATTACCTGGCATGCGCTTGGTAATTTTGTGCAGCACAAGAATGAAGAACAGGAACAGACTCATAGCCTGCTGGGACGGCAGGCACTATACACACTCATACATATGCATGTGTACAGTCAGCCAGGACCCTGCTGCGCCCACCCACTCGCTCTCATTGGCCACCAGCCCGTCGCTGTGGGAGCAGGTGTCGTGCAGTTGGCAGATTCATCTGTCGTCATGACAGGGGCTCCTCTCTCTCTTCTTCTGAGATCATTGTGTCCCCCTTCCACTCCTCGCATCTCTTAACCAAACTCAACAGATTTGCTGCTTCAGGGAAAATGGAAGCATCCGGAAGGCTAATAATCCAGAGCAGTGACCTGCGAAATTAGGGTCCAGGAGCAGAAAGCTGAGCCATTCCAGATCGTGAACAAAACTTGCTGATAAACATGTTTAACTTTGGCAGAACGGATGCTGCTTCAGGCCAGAGGATGCCAGCAAGGTTCTTTTGAGATTAGTGATTAAAATTTGGGCTGGACTCCCACTGGATGCAATATTATTACATTAACACCAGTTAGTTTAGATTCCAGTAAAGTGAAATTAGTATTGCGTTTAGTGGGTGGGCATAATCCTGTGTGTTTGTGTATGGATGAGGCTTTGCTGTCGTTGTTCTGTGTCATGCTGAGTAGAGTTGTGCTGTTATAAGTGATTCGACTTAAGGGAAAGAAAGTCCAATAGATTAGCAAGAAATGGTAAGATCATCCATCCTTTGTTCTATCTATCTGTCCATCCATCCATCCATATTTAGAGCTGGGCATGGACTCTTTTGAATTAGGCCAATAAGCAACCACCAAGGAACTGCTGAGCAAACTATTTGAAATCAGGGTTGCCAGGTCTGCGAATCAAAACCAGCCCAATTGCTATTCAAAACTAGTCCAATATTAGCCCAATTTCATTTTTTTCTGTGGTTTTCCTCTCTGTCAAAATTGTACCGGGGGCTTGGCTGAGATGGACTTGACTACACTGTTTGAAACACCTATCAATGTTGCATCTATCTTTCTGCCATTATTTCTGTCCATCCATCCCTCTATCCATGTATTGTTCTATCAATCCGTCCATTCATCTGTCAGTCTGTCTATCTGTCCATCGTTCTATCCATCCATCCATCCATCCATCCATCCGTCTATCTGTCTGTCCATCACTCCATGCATCGTCCTATGTATTGTTCTTCTGTCAATTATGTCTGTCGTTTCATCCATCCATTAGTTTTATCTATCCATCCATCGAATCATTCCATCCATCCATTTATCCATACATCCATCCTTTGTTCTGTCTATCTGTCCATCCATCGTTGTATCATTCTGTCATTATGTCTGTCGTTCCATCCATCCATCATCCATCATCCATCCTTTGTTCTATCTATCTGTCCATCCATCCATCCATCGTTCTATGTATCATTCTGTCATTTTGTCTGTTGTTCCATCTATCCAATCAACCTTTGTTCTATCTATTTGTCCATGAATCCATCCATCCATCGATCTTTCAATGTATTATTCTGTCATGATATCTCTCGTTCCATCCATCCTTTGTTCTATCTATATGTCCGTCCATC